AAATCCGCCGAAACGTCAGCTCATTTGTGAATAAAGAATAATAACACCTCGCGTTTGCTCAACAAAAATACGAAGAATATTTAAGCATAGAAAGTTTTCAAGTGGAGACATGAAATAGTAGAATTTGCAGTTTTACCAACATGAAACTACTCTATATTTTCAGCATAGAGCAATGGAGTGATAGAACCAGTAAGTCCTGCTAAGTTTCCTAAGATAGTGTCGAGTTGCATGAAACGGCTTGCTGTGTGGTGATTCTTTCTAATAGCAAATCGTAAGAAATCGAATTCGTAGCGCTGCTTGCTTAATTTCTCTTGTAATTGGTAATAAACAGCTGGAACGTTGTCCTGTTTATAATGGGTTTACGTCCGCCGAATGACGTAAATTATGCTGTTTTAGGTGTATTTTCCCGAATTCATTACGGTATTTCATTATTCCGTCGGTTTTATTATGAATCATCGTGCTTCGCCAGATAGTTCGATTTCGCAACCTTCTAATGAAACCGTGCTTCAGTTCTGCCAGCCACTTTTTACGACATGGTTTATGTGTTGTATATACAATATTGTTATCGCGATACAGTATGATAAATTCCACTTTAGTCGCATTTCGCACCGTTTTTATGAAATGCACCATTTTCCGGGGCAAGAGAAGAGCTACGGGGAACACATGGTGGCCTAAGTTCAATTTCTGGCTTCTTTTTTGACAGTACAATCCGATTTTTTCGCCGACAGAACGCAACAAGCAGAAGAATAAGTAGGTTTCGACTTCCACTTGATAGTAGATAGTGAAGCAGAAATAAAATTAACAACATAACATGAATCGGAAAAGCAAAATGTGTTCTTTTGCCTTAAAGGATTTTGCAAGCATAGTTGATTAAAACTTTATCGCAAAAAATAGACCACTGTCATAAATCTTTTTGAATCAAACGAGAGTGGTGCTTCCGAAGTGTTGGGAATCGGAGTGTGCAGCGGTAAGATCATGCTCGAATAACTTCACAGTCACACTCATGAAGTCAAGTGAGGAAACAATATAGTATGCTTATTCCACCTGTCATGTCATCTTATTCAAGCTAACTCATAGTTCCAAAAGCCACTCAGTTCTTACAGAGTCGTCTCGCCCACAAACAACACCACAAGGAAATCAACTACATATGACGATGTTCTGTTTCCTCTGGGACCGAGACGGTCTTCGACGTCGGTGTTCTAAAAAAATGAGTCACATGAATTCTCAAGTCCCTTTGTAACACGATGCTTTTCAAAGAAAAAAGTTGGAAAGCGACGTGATTTCATTAGAAAGTTTAATACCGTCGTATTGCCTTGACTGTCATGGAACGGTATAGTCTCTACCAATATTTACGATGATTTTACGGTGCTTCCACCGAAGACACATGGTTTTTTTAAATTCATGATAGCGCTATCATTTCCTAACAACTATAAAACCACGAATACATTCGATGTATAGTTGCTTCATATCACCACTTACAGCGATACATTTGTGAAAAAAAAATTCTTTAAAAATACTTCCTGGGTGATTCTACTATCGATTGACCGATTCGGATGGAGCTTTGCCGTTTTCCATAGATTCCTTTTCATATTGTACTTCACTGGGCCCCATATTCACACTTATCCTTCACTGCTTCTCATTTAGAGAAATGCCTCAAATGCATTAAAACGTCGTTTATAGACCCTGTATCATGTAGAGTTTCGTGATAGCAAACTGGTTCTCGATTTTTTCCATAAATTTCCCCTCCCAGACTATTCGTTGTCTACCGTTCAATGTGTAAAGAGTTTTGACGAGTATCATAATAACTTTATGGCACCCAGAAAAAAGGAAAAGCTTAGCAGCTATGTGATAACAAATACCAGTTATTGGACATGGACATTCTTTTAGCTGCGGATCCACTTCGGTAGTACACTGCAGTGAGGTACCACACGTTCATCCAGAATCACTGCTTATGCTATTTCTTAAGTGTTTGCTGACATTGAACTGGTCATCAGCTGTCATCGCCAACATAATTCTAGATCTCAGAGAAATTCGTAAACACGGCAAGGTCTTTCCCTTATTAATAGGCGCTGCACTGAGGCAACAGTTCGCGTGAATTATGGAATAACTTCAGACAACCTAGCCCAGAAGAACAACTGGTTTTCCTAGTGTGCATTATCTCATTTCAGTCCGGTGTTCTTCTGTAAAACCAGCTATATGACGGAAAGTGGCAATTTTAGTTTCCTCAGTTTCCTCTGCAGTTATCTGTGCTAAGATTTGTAATGATATTCTCAGAAAACATGATTATAATATATTATTGGAACAAAGTTAAGAATTGAAAAAGTCAAATTGTGGGATAACGAAGATATCCGTGCTATCACCAAGTGAGTAATAGCCTCATCATAATAAAAGTAAGCAACGTTCTGTTCTACAATAAGTACAAATGTGACTCTCACACTGACGCAACCATGCTCCAAAGAAAAAAGAAAAAAAGAAGTGATTTCTAAGTACTCTGGGACATACGTAGAACATGAATGTCGAAATGTTTATTGTTTTGCGACAGAAATCTGCTATTAATCACAAAATCAGAGGCTTTTTATGGGAAGGCAGGCTTGGTGACTGAAGCATAACGATGTGCTCGTGATCTGTGCAGTTCATCCACGGAAGAAACAGTACCATAGAGCATGGATAATGGCTGGTAAGTAGAAGAAAAAGCAAAGAATAATGTTCACGGCAACGTGAATATTGCAGTCCGAACCATGGATGAAGATGGCCAACGGCTGAAAATCAACAATTGAATAGACATGCACGTATTAACCAAAGAGCTCCACACTGATCATTTAAAAAGCATCGGAAAAGAATACTCACAGGCAGGAAAATTGCAAGAATCAATTCAATAATTTGCTGCATTTCGATGGCCATTTTTGCTGATGTGAGAACTACTGCAAGAAGCCATTGGAGAGATATAGGAAAAGCCTTCGCTACGAAGTCATTGTCGGAAAAACAAAACTCCTTCGGAATTTTGGATGAAGGAAAGAAAAAATTTATTCGCAAAACGGCTACAAATCAAAGAATAAGGACATTATAAACGAAAACACAAACGAAGTCTTGGAAACGTACATCCACGTCAAGTCCCATAGTTATGCTTACTCATCGACATCATCGAGCAAAAAAAATATAAAGAGGAATCGTGTTCATTTCTTTGTACATTCAAGCAATGAGGAAATAAGAAAAGGCCTCAGTTATGAATTCCATTGATATGGATAGCAAATATTTTGGTCGTTTGATAAGCATTTTGTTGCTGAAGAAAACCTTCATAGATCATTGAGCGAACGAAAGAAAAAATTACTATGTAAACCGGCTATTAATGAAGGGATAAGCATGTTATGAATGAAAAACACAAGCGAATTCTCCGAAATGTGCATTGAAGCAAAATCTCCCATAACCGTGCTCTACACAATGAAGCAATGAACAAATGAGAACAGGCCCTACGATACAGATTTTCATTGAAACTGCACATGGATGATCAATACTTGGCTTATTGACAAGCCAACACGAGATTGTTACAATTCTTTATTATGATCCTAAAGAAGATTTGTGATATCTTCATGTAAACTTATCAATACAGCAAGACATAGGAGGACGACTTAGTCAGTTCTGAGTCTTAGTCTTAGTCAAATCTTAGTCAGTTGCGAAACAGTGCTACTTACAAGTTTAAAAATCGCTATGGTGAAATTGTGAAACGAACCAGTTTCTCAGAAAAAATGTTGCAGCTTGGCTGTTAGGGCAACAAACGAGCAGAGTCGCATTCGTATAAAGTAATTTAGAGTTCCCTGAGGCAGCACGATAACGAACAGCGACATGGAAATCGAATGTTATTTGAACAGCTAGTGTTCTTAAATCAGTAAACATTAATTAATTTGAGACAACTTATCAATAAATGGGTCCACACAACCAATATACCATGAGACTAACAAGTGCACGATGGAAATTCGATCACTTATTCGTTTTTGTAGGGCCCTAATTTCACTCTCTTGTTCACACACCTCCATGAGAACTGAGGAGAGTCCTGGGCATTATACCCAAGCATTTTCTTGTAATTCCACCTCATCCCGAATTTCGTCTTTCCTATTTGGGAACTCCGACTTTTCAACATTATCGATGATTTAAGCAGTTGAGCACTTTGTCGTACGATAAAATAGTAGTGATTACGGTTATAGAACAAATCTAATGATTTATGGGACCACGAAATTGTTCTCACCGATAAAAATTCACCTCTATAAACTCTGAAGAGAGCAAGCTAGCACTATACACGCACTGATTCTGTGCATTCATTTGTGGAAGTTTCATGTTGGAAACAAATGTGCTAAGACCCAAGCCATTACTTCTTCACTTCACTTTGAAGCATACATAAGTCATAAATAGACGACGCTAACACATATAGCTAAAAAAGAAAACAGAAATTCATACTGCATTAATGCTCTTAGTACAACATAGTTAACCAGCAACTAGCTAATGTGAAAATCGTCAACGATTAAACACCACGACAGAGATGAATGAGAGCGAAGTTATTGACCACTGTAAGAGACGTGCATTGGTGGCGCATTCGTATTCCGGTTTTCAGTTCGCTGAGGCAATGAATATGGATTTGTCATTCACAATGGCTTGCAGAGGCCGGTCGATGCACATATCAGTGCATCAAACTTCGCAGGACATAACGCTACTAATTTACCGATAAGGGAAATTTAGTTCGCCTAGTACAAGGTATTGCACAATCATAGAGCGAATCCGGGAAAGTCTTCTAGGTCTAATGAACACCAAATTACGATGAATTAACCAAAGGGAATCAAATGTTTCATTAGTAGGTAAGGTGATTTAACTATGAGAGGAATAAATAAGTGTGAAGATGAAGGTTTTTGCATTAAGACAAGATGTTATACATTATCAATGTTACGCAGTTTACTGCTTGTGGATGAATTTAACGTGTATGGTAAAGAGTGGTTGAAAAGAACAACGGATAGGCGAGCTAATCCTTATTATCAGGAAACAGCCAATATACTCGGCATCCAACTGTTCACTAACACAAAGCTCATGCCTCACAAGCACGACAAACGACACATGGAAACGTGACTAGGAGGGAAGTAGATTAATAGCATAAAATTGCATCGAGATGTAACTGCATAACGTACAAAGGTCAATCATGACTGCCTAAATCTGATAATCTACGAGAACTCGCGGCTACGAAAAGCAGCAGTGAATTTGAAATCAGCTGCAGTCTGAGCGAAAGACGTGCTGTTGTTACACTGCACGTGCAGTGAAGAGAATCGCGATTCCAGTCGCCGATATCGATCATCACGTTACGAGAGCTGCTAAGGCCTTGATTGCCAATGAAAGGGCCGAGCATCGCATTGCTAGTAATATGGGGAACAGCTATGCCATATGTCTTTGCTATTTATTCCGGAGAGAAGCACCACAGATCTATGGCCCCTACTGAACTGCACAACAACAGTGAGGCGAAAGAATGCTTGTAAACATAGATTCCAGTTCTGTTTAAGGTAGCTGATAAACAATGGGAGTTTGGGAAAAGCGCACGATACAGGGGAATGACTACAGCGTACGACCCCAGCCCGTCTAGCGCCTTTGTTACACATAACGTGCCATTAGTCTCCCCTTCATGACAACAAGAGCAGCAATAACAATAGATGGAGTATCAACAAATATGCTGATTACAAACATTAGCAGGTCAACAGCGAAATGTTAGTAACAAAAGTACATAAAGTAGGCGTCAATTTCCAAACGTACTACTTCAAACTGTGAAAGCCTTCACTCAGTTAACGGCGCCAATGGTAATGAAGAGTACGGGAACAGTTTTCCAAAAATCGTCTAAAAGTGCGAAAACGAGGAAAAGTCATCTTGCAGCACACTATTATGTCGTATTGTTAGCCTAAAGGAGAAGAAAAATTAGTACAGCAAACACCTGATAATGAGCGGACTATTCGTTAAGACTAGGCCTCATTAGCGTCAGTAATTTGATGGTAGAAGGAAACCTGATGTTAGTTCTCTGAGAATGATAATAATGACATGCTATCAACTGTCTTTGTTGTCTTTCGAATTCGATGAAATCTGATAGTAAGGCTGCACAAATCCTGTGATTTTTGCGTGGGTTTTTCGTACGGCTCATCAAATACGTTGACGATTTCACGACATGCGGTCTGTCGGAAGGTACGGTCGGTCGATCGTCGGTCCGAGGTCGGCGACCTACACGCGACGTCGATTTCGATGTGTTGTCACCGTGTACACAAGCGAATACCTGTTGTAACTGCAGAAACCAGTGCACTTGTTAGATGCCGATGACGGAAAAGAACGTACAAAACGTAAGAAGGAAAAGCATGATAGACAGAAGGAAATTGTCAACTATTGACTGAAACGTAAACATGACCTAACGTTCGAAATAAGAAGCTGATGCTTATTATTATGTTGTTGAGAAAATTATGTCGGATTTCAGCCTGTATTCCTCAAAATGTTCTCGGAATAGACTTCAATGTTTTTTGTTCTGGAAAATTCTTCCTTAAAAGGCGTACATTTACTTAGATATCTGATGGTACATCATTTGAAAAAAATATATTGCTCGAATATATACCGAAGAAATAAAACAAAAAAAGGATAAAGCTCTGGGCGTTGATCGACTTCATTAAGTATGGTTTGGAGGTGACTGAATTCATATCTGACTTTTACAATGACGCGGTGGCCTACCGATGTATCCAGTCAGTGCTGCTATCCCACCAGACAAGTCTGGTACCAATTTGCCAACCCCGGATAGATGGAAGACTTGGTGGGCCATGGCCGCGGGGATCGATTCCACGTGTGTGCTGCAGGACGTGTCCGACAACTGCGCCACATGCGCCCATACCAAAGAAATAAACAACAAAAATCCTGGTCCTGGAGTAATTTCCGAACAGTCTAGTACTCTGGTTGATTGAAAAAGTGGGAACGGTGTTTCGTATGTTGCCTTCTCCTGTCAAAATCAACAAATAACCCATAAAAAGTTAAATTGTTGATGCATGAAAACATGCACATATGATGCCATTTATAACGTCGTATACTCTCTCTTGTAGTAAATTAAAAACTCTGTTGCGTTTACACTTTTGCTTATTGATAAGCGTAAGGAGATTATTATAAAACTTTGTTTTGGCCAACGCTTCGCCATCGACCCTCTCCAGAGCGTTTCCATGTTTCAAGTCAGCAGTTATCCCAGTCTACAGCAATAAATTCCTTTATATTACGGAAAGCCGCCACCGTCGAACAGAGTGGAATCGAATGAAATACAGCACGGACAGTTCCCTGCACCGACTATCCATTAACCTCACTGTTGATCAACATGTGTGTGTATTTTTGATTAGCAGACCGTCACCTGTTGTCACGCCCATTATCGTGTGACTCAAGCAGGCGCCAGTAACTCTTACATTCCACCTTGTTGCTTGCAAGAGTAACCCAGTGGGTTATGCTCACACTAGAGACCCGTTGGTCATCGCATCTTTCTTTTACGGTTTACGTGAAAATTTGACTATCAGCTTAGTAGTATTCCTACTGTGCGTGCGACATCCTGAGGAATCCGGTCGCTAGCGACTGTTGTCCACCGCTTGCCGTCCTGACGGATTACACTCCCAACCTACCTGACTATTGAAATTTTCGAGTGAAGAGCAGCATCTCTGGTTTCTAACTGTAGGTCGAAAGTTCTATCCCGTCTCTCGCTTGCTTGATACGGAATACTAAAAACGCCGACTGAGCTTTTTGAAGCCTGATTTGAGACAGGAGGAAGAGGTGTGCACGGAATTGGGTATTCTTTATTTTCTTCACCACATTTCCAATTCTCTTAAACGCTCCTCAAGCCTCGCTTTTTTGCTTTCAATTCTGGTACTCAG